TGTTGCATAAAGAGCTCTCTGATAAACTGAAAGACAAAAAGAATAAGTACAAAAAATGGAAAGAGACACATACTGTATATCAAAAGCAGAATAGCAGCATATAGCCAGAATCTGCAATGATGAAGTCAGGAAAGCTAAGGCTCAGAACTAAGACTTGCAACAACTGTCAAAAATAAATTTTAAAAAGTTTCTTTAAACATGTAAAAAACAAGAAAAAGGTCAAGGAAACAAATGGCCAACTAGTGGGAGAAAATGGCAAGGAAATGATAGATAGCAGGCAGAGAAGCAGAGTTGCTTAATTCATTCTTTATTTCTGTGTTCACACAAAAGGAGTGTTAGTAGATAACCACTTGCATATGAGCCAGCAGTGTGTCACAGCCACCAAAAAAGCCAATGCAATCAGTGCATCAATAGAGGCAGAGGATCAAGATCATGTGAATGTAACACTTGGAATATTGCATCCAGTTTTGGTTGCCAAATATAAAAAACATTTGAGACTTTCTAAAGTGCAGAGAAAAGAAAAACAATTATGATTAGGGGGCTGTAAGCTAAAACATGAAAAACAGTTGCAGGAATTGGATGTCTAGTCCAGAGGTAGGTTGCTAATTTTTTTACTACTGGTTTAGGCGTGCTCGCGCACCACACTTCTGCACAAGCATCCGGGCAGGTGGGCGGAGCTTCCCGCCCCTGCTACTACCAGTCGGCTGATCCAGGCCAAACCAGCAGCAACCCACCTCTGGTCTAGTCCAGTGAAAATAAGAACTAGGATTCATATGATAGCAGTGTTCCAATATTTGAGGGGCTGTTACAAAGAAGAGGAATCAATCTGTTTTCCAAAGCACCAGAAAGCGAGACAAAAAGCAATGAATGGAAACTAATCAAGGAGAGAACCAACCTAGAACTAAGGAGACAGTTAGAACAATTAATCAGTGGAACAGCTTGCATTCAGAAGTTGTGGGTGTTCCATTGCTGTAGCTTTTTAAAAAGAGATTGGTCAGCCATTTGTCTAGAATAATATAGAGTCTTCTGCTTGTACAGGAGGTTGGACTAGAAGAGCTCCATGGTCCCTTCCAACTCTTATTATTCCATTATTAAAACTAACCTTTACAAAATGGAGCTTTGAAAGACAAAAGATGTAGCAAAATGTGTTTCGTTTGTAAAGTTATTACTTGACTACTTGATTTGATTACTAACATTAAGTAGCATTCAGTATAAAATGTATTCCAAGCACTTCTTTAAGCATTCTGACTAGATTTGTTATGTAAGTGCTGTGTTGTGTATGTGTATGTATAAATTTATTCATTGATTGGAACCAAATCAAGCCAGTTGCCAAAAGTTGAAAGATTAGAGTAAATTGAGAAATTCACTTGAATGTTCAAAGTTCATCTATTGCTATAAGATTTAGCTTAGTGATAAAATAATTTTTAAGGAGAAAGCTATTGCTCTGTATTCCTACCTTTCTAGTGAAATATAAAACATATATATATATATATATATATATATATATATATATATATATA